CACACACACAGACACACACTCATTCAAGCACACAAGCCATAGCTGAAGTGAGGCGATATTATTCACCACTTTGTCACATGCAGGGTGTGTTTGTTATTATTTTGTTCCGCAGCATTAGTAAAAAAAAAAAGTACTGGTCACTTGAGAGCTGGCAGAGTTGACACGTCTCTGAAATAATAATGAGTAAGTTCAGCAGTCAAACTACATCTGAACCAGATTTTGAGTAAATATTAGTAAGTTTTCCTCTACAGTAAGATTTCAATGCACCTGTCAGGACAGGTACTTGGCACACCACCTTTATGCCTTTAATCATTTTTAAAAACCTTATCATCATACACTCATACCCCGTTTCATCAGGGCTAGATTGGGGTTCAGTACCTTTTCCCGTACTTCGAGTAGCTGAATGTCCAGTAACAACCTTGTGATTAAAGCCTGACTTGCTCTACCTCCTCAGCTATAGAGGATATTCCTCTGTGGAATAACGTGGGAGGATATCTGACTGAAATGAATGCAAGCAATAAGCAATAACTTGTGTTTGGCCTCACTGGACAAAAATAAAATCCATAATAAGCTTTTATTTCAAGTAGTCTGAGGTGAAGCCTGATTCCTGCACCTCCTCCTAACTTTGGTTTCAAGACTGAGCTGAAGTTAATTTTCTTCAAATTCTGGATTCCCCCTTACTGTAAACATTAAAAACACTGAAATAAAATCCCAGCACTTGAAAGTGTTACTTTAGCTTCTTCTGCTGTATGCATGATTTCCTAGTTTGTCTCAGCTGTTGTGTTTCTGGCTCTTCCCTAATTCTCAGTGGATTGTAGATGAATTTATCCCATAAATATGCTTCTGCCTAGAACCGGGATCTCAGGGTGACATTACTCACAAAGACGAATACAAGATTTTCTTTTTTTTAAATTAACTAAAGTACAACAGGTCAAACAGATAAATCAACTCGTGAACAGGAGATGTTTGGGCAGCAGAGGAAACTAGGTGCTGCACCGATGCTACCTTTTCTTTTTTGGAATAAAAATATCTTGGATTGAAAGTTTTTACTTTTCTTCTGGATCTGTGGAACTAGATCCATCTCAAAATGTTTTATTGTTAACAAACAGTACATCATAGATTTGTTGGTATGGCTCCATAATCGTTGATGTCCCAACATGAGCCTGATGCAGGGAGAGCAGCAGCCAAACAGATTCAGCAGTTTAAAGCATTATTATTCTAAACTGCATTTATGTTTTAGCAGCAGCAGGTGTCTGAGTAGCAGTCAGATCTTAGCGTATATATATCCCAAAACCAGAGTTTGGGGTCCAAATATAACTGGATAAATAGAATATATTAAATAAATATATTTAAATAAATATATTTAAATAAATATATTTAAAGGAGGCTTTACATGACAAAGAAAGCAGGATCAACAAATGTGGAAAAAGGAACTTGAATACAATTTAATTTTACTCCTTAATTTCCGTTTTTATCATTTTCATTTGTTCCCTGGGCTCCTCGTTCTGTCCCTCCTCTTCCTCGTCTAGTCTTCACAGCCTGTAATATACTCTGTAGTGGATTCTCATATTCACCAGTCAGTGGATCATGAAATGTGTGTGCGCGCAGCAATAATAGAGTCTCACTCATCTATTTAGCTTAATGGTCTCATGGATATTTAATAATGAGCTTGATAGGCCAGACAGCTCTCACACACACACACACACACACAC